CAAGAAAAAATATACACTAAAGTATAAACCCTATGCCGTTTAAACATTTGAAGAAAAAATATTCGGTTGGTAAAAATTACATCTTATATATTATTTTAACATTCAGGAAATTTGATCCGTTTGGTTAAAATAATAACCATTTAAATGAGTGAACACAACTACTTACTCACCCAGTAATCAGCAACAGAAATTTATTAATCACGTTTTTTTTTTGTATAGACTTCAAAGTTTGTACAACATATTTCAATTCTATTTTGTGTAATTATTTTGTCTATGGTAATATTATGCAGTAAGAGCCGGATAAAATGTTGATTAGTTTCTCTTATGGGGCACTTGAATATTTTAATCGTGCTTTGTAAAGTTGAACAATAATTACAGAGGTTGTTTTTTCACATTCTAATATGGAAATTTAAAACCAAAATTCTAGTTTATTACATTGGGCATATTGCAAAACATTGGTGAATGAATCCAACAATATTAGTTAAAAGGCAAAACGTTATTTCATTTTAAATCAGAGGATATTTTATAAAGTTAAATCAGTAAAGTTTGTTTGTCCCTAGACTTCGTCGCTGTGACTAAAGTTTAGACCCAGGAGACTGTCTTATTAGACTTTAATGTTCAGTTGTTACGTTAACAAAACTGAATAAATGATCAGTAAATCTCGTACTAATCTTGAAGACTTTACGTCTTTTTAACATTATTTGAAAATAATCTATATTAAAGCTAGGATGGATTTGAACTTTCGAGAATAACTGTAAGCCGTAAGCCTATTAACCGCATACTTTAAAGAAAGTTCTTGATGTCAAACTTCCACGAAAAATATCAGTTTCTTGATAAAACCTCTCTTAAGGGCAGGAATCTCAATTAAAGGGATGTATTTGACCACATTTAATATTAAAAATACACCAGCAAATGGATTTGTTTTCGTTTTAGTTTGTTTACTTTTTCTTTGCTTAACCTTTTGGTTATTCCATAGATTTCTGAATTGCATCAGTAAAAGTTACAGTACATTTTTCTTATAATGGGGGATGGTGTTCAAAACTTTGAATTCTCTTTCAATTGTTATTTATTAGTTTAGTATTATATATTTTGAAAATCTGTAATTTATGTTGCAGACAAATGTTGTGGATATAATTCAGTGACACAAGAACCATAGAGTTTGGAGGAGCCTTATGTGTTATCTGTTGAGTATTCTGCCTTGTGTCATGTGCATTGATAAAACTAATTTTCAAGAACAAGTGCCTAATAATCCAGTGGTTTGCATTGGACGAGATGGTGAAGAACCACCATACATCTATGTGTTATCTCCCCATGGCGAAGCACGGGCAGGGCAACTAGTATACAAAAAGGAGTGTTAATAAGACACTTTGTTAGTAGAATAATGTTTTTCCGTCATACCGCAGAAAAACTGCTGTTTTCATTTCACGAGTTGCAACATGACCTCCTCTAGTACGAGAACGCCCCACGGCAGAAAGATGTCTTCGGCCTGCTGAAACGATGGCTGAAACAGCTGCTTCACAAATTCATAACGTGGCATCTTGTTTGTTTACATTATTGTTATTACTTGTATCACCATGGTTGGGGTGCTAACTGTTCTTGTAGAGCTCGGGACCTCAGAGCCTGAGTTCCCGTGTTCAATCCCCGCCAATCACCAATTGATTTTATCTATTAGATAATGCCTTGACTGTTTAGGACTAGCCTGAAGTTATGTGTAAAACGGTCCTGGGCTAAAGCCTGTGATGGTGGGGACATAAAAAAGAACGAAGAAAAGAAAGAAGAAAATGGTGGGAAAAGAAGAAAGAAGAGAAATATTAATTAATGTTTCGTATAAATATAAATGTTTTGTGTGTGAGTGTATGTATACACGTGAACTTCAACAATGACCAATGCTATCAACAGTAATTTAACAAGACAAAAGTTTTGACAACGGGGCTGTTTGCCCCGAAACTATAGTCATCTTAAAAAACGATTTGTATTGAAAACGTAAATAAGTTATTTAACCTATTAATTAATAAATCAATAAAGACGGTATTACTATAGCAACAGGTCTGCCTGTTCGACGTCACCACACACCAACGCCGTGGCCTTCTATAAAAGGAGGCTACGGTGGCAGCCGTTGTGGGACTAAAGTAGCTCTTTTCTCCTTAAACAAAAAATAATTTCCTGAAGACACGGTCCCTTAATTTACATTTTCAGATCTATAATAGTCGTAAATTGATTTTTCCCGGGGAATTTCATCTTGATAAACAAAAATATCATCGTATCGTTTTTAACATTTGTTTGTGTTTATCGTCATTTCGTAAATAACTTACTTTGTTGCAAATTATACATTTTCATTAACATATACACACTACAATATATAACAACAATTTGAAATACAATTTAAAATAATTTAAATGGTGAAATATAACTTTATTTTTGTGTTTGTGTACTATTACACAATTTGTTTGTAAAACAGCTATTCATATATGATAACAAGAAGTAACAAATATTTGTACCTGATTTATTAAGTTAACTAAAATACAAAATTTATGTTTATGAAATGTGTACTAATGTTTTGTATATCATTATGATAAGTTTATCATTCAGACCTTAAGTGTATTTTCCACCTTTTTTCATTTTCTAACAACAGCGTCACTTTGGCTATGGAACTTGTTCGTACAGTGTTGATAATAATGTTAACAATGCTCGTTCAAGTTTGGGTTTTTATTCTTTTATGTTGTGAAAATCCAAAATAGGTTATACTAGAAAAATATACGGCTACTCATTTGTATAAAACCTGAACTTCAATCATCAAAATGAGCTTTAAGCTGACTTAAGAGATAGAGCCTGGAGTCCCGCCATATACCTGTGGTTTATGGACAAATATCATAAATTTAAGCTTTGGATCCTTTAAGTACAACTAGTAAACTAAGTACAATACTTTTAAAAACACCCTGTTTAGATCTATCAAACTAGATTATTCACAAATAAATCGAAACCATTCACATTATCAGTTATTGTAGTAATGATAGTCTTCTAAATGTCTTGTCATAAGTTTCTACTACGAGTAATAAGTCCATTTACGCAATATAAGATATATGCAGAGTATTTGAAAAACTACGCTTAATATGGATTAAAAAAATATTTATATTTTATTCAATCGTTATAATTTTGTTTATGAACTATGGCAATACATGACTAAACTAATAGGTTGAAATAAACAAACTTTTAGCAGTCATAAAATGATGTTAAAGAAAAACTTGAAGAACGAAATTGAGGCAAGTATAAAACAAATTTTTGAAATGTAGGATAATTTTAGCAAACGAAATTCCACTCTACGTCATATACCTAAAACATTTACAATTTTCTAACGAGCGAATAGTTTAGTTCAATACACATTATCAAAGATCAATACAATTAATTATGATCATTTTTCGATGATGTAAATCACTTTAGAATGCTATAACATCATGACATAGAACTTTTTTAACCGAGAAATATTTTAAATACCCACAGGTACGATACCAGTAGAGCTGTGCTATGCGGGTAACCATGGCCACTGATACGTCCCTAACTCACTTTTTCATAGTGCAGCTTCAAAGAGAATTTATGGTTCATATACAGCCTCGACCTTTTAATGAAAAAAAACTATCAATAGATACCTGCAGTTTTAGGTAAGACAGCAGTAAAATATTTTTTTTTGTTTAATTTGGTAGAACATACTTTCCTGAACACGTAGATACCAAATATTATGGAAGAAAATTAGTTTTTAAGTTTTACAGTGACTTTTATTAACTCTTACTTTAGCATGTCCAAGGTCCTTCTTGAAGGGGGTACTTTTGTCGTTTTCCCAAAGTCAAGTTTCTTTAGTAGGGTACACTTTTCTTCCTCAAGTATAATACAATTTCAATAAAATTCGGTGTTTGTGTCCCACATATTATAGGAAACACAATAGGAATCAGTTTCGATGAGAACCAAAAACATTTTTATAAAGAAATATTTTATGTTAAATTTTACAAAATATTTTATAAAATTTTAATGATAATACAAAAATGTATTTCTGTTAAAAATGTATTTTACTTCTTATTATAGTTAATGGGTAATGTATTAAACTTATTTAAAAATTTAAAGTTGGTAGGTTAACATTTTTAAATGTTATGTGTACCATTATCTAAAAACTGCCATTTTAACATGGGTTGGATAGGGACTTCTGTCTTACTGGTTTTGTAAATGTCAGGTGATTTGGAAAAAATGTTGGAAATATTTATTCTTAGCGTGTAGCACTACCTACGAATAATGCATTAAAGAATAAATAAATCACTGGGATTACGGTAAAACAATGAAAACAATTCATATATGTTTTTGGACGACTTCTAAGGCTCATAAGAATTACAATTCAAAGGCAGTTCAACAGAATACATACCAAGTTGGCAAGAGTAGGCTTCCAAAGTCTGGAATTATTCATTTCCCTCTTTTATCCTCTGCGCTCATTAGAATAACATGCAAAGTCCAAACTTTACGTTTCCTTTATGGCTGCTTATTTTCCAGCATTAATGATGCTTGCCAAAAAGTTAAAAAGAAACTCTGCCAGATCCATTAACGTGGGGTCTTAGTATTCACTTAACACTTAATGGTAAGCATTGACCTCAAATTAATGCTAACTTACTTTTAAATCTGCACTTAAGAACATTAGTAATACAATCAAAGCTTGTCTAAAGTATAACTTTGACAGCAATTCGATGGCCAATACCGATCCGAGTGTGCTTTTATTGTAAACATTAATTAAAGAGTTCGTCTTGATTCTCATTAATATAAGCTAGTTCTTTAAATAATTGCTTATGGCAAGTACGAGTTTTATTACAAAAGGACTGACCAAAATATCTAATAGCTTGGATATGCCAGTTCACGAATCCGGCCTACACACCTCGTATTTTTACGCAACCACAGAATGCCTACACATTGAAACTATTAAGTCACATTTTAGAGGGCAACGCAAAGTTTACCAAACTTTGACTTACCTGTGTGTGGGAGTAGAACATAGAGAAGTTGGATACTATGACGGGGACAGGGAGGGCGATGGTTAAGACTCCCGCCAGTGCACACAGAGCTCCCACAAACATACCCACGTATGTCTTAGGAGCCATGTCACCGTAGCCCACCGTCGTCATGGTGACGATCGCCCACCACAGGCCCTCTGGGATGCTCTTGAAGTCGTTGTGTGGGTTGGCCTACAATAACATGACAAATTAGTAGGAGTTAAATGTGGTGTTATTACATCCACAAATAATCTAATTAAAGCTCGTCGAGAACTACTAACAATGTTTGAACGCTCGTAGTCCTACAATTTGTAATTTTTGACCTAAATTTGTTTTGTGACGGCACTTTTGTTAAGTGAAATTGAAAGTTCCCCCAGCAAACGATTTTATAATGTTGTACTGTTTATTTCAGAAGAATTTTACTTGGAAGGGTTTAAAGAATAAATTATTTTGCCTTATCATAAAATGAAATACTAACTATTGTATACCGAATCATTACCTAAAATATAATTTCGCAAAGTATAATTTGAAATATTAAAAAAATATAAAATAAATATAATTTTTTCATGTTCCTTGAAAAATGGGATGTGATATGGACATATGATGTGTCTATAGCCAGGAAGGCCGAAAATTTAAAAAAGTTGTAGTCCGATGAAAAGTTGTTTTTTATTTAACATGCATACACTAATTGTTCCTACTTCAAAGTGTACCAGTATGTCTACCAAGTTGAGGAAAACAATTTTAAATTAATTACAAACAAGTTAATAGCCTTCCACCGTATGAAATATTATTAGTAGAACTACTAAAATAATTTTAACATATAAACATTGTAAATTATCACAATTAATTTTAAAACCAACACTAATCCATACACTAATTTTAAAACACTATTTTTATGCTTTTAAATTATTAATACATTAATTTCAATATTTTGTGAGTAGATTAATAATAGGTCTGTTGATATTTGCACTCTTGGAACTCTGACTATGAAGGAGCGTTTTTCTTTTGTGGGAAGGGCAGAACAATGTGTATTGCGATTTCTTAAAAAAATTAGGAATGTATAGGTTTGCTACCACTACCACCATTTGAAAATATATCCACTAATAAAACGTATCTGATCAATAGTGAGAGCTCTGGTTTGAGGAATATTTTAAATGTGTAAACGTTCATTGTTCTGTATTTTTTCCTAGATGTTCATAATTTTCCTAATTAAATTTTGGTAAAGTATTTGTTATTTTAATCTATGTTTTCTTAGTTTAACGAATTTTTATGACTAACTATGCACACAGAATTTAAGCTGTAATACAATCTTTGTGTTAAGTTACTTTTGAAGTATTTAAAAAAATATTACTGTAAGAAATCGTTAAGACCTCTAGCACATATTTTACCTTATTAATATATGTAAAGAGTACAATAAACCTTTAAGGATATATAGATTGTGGTCTATTACAAAGTTTACTTCTACACTATATGATGGTGGCACCGTCCTGTAATCCAGCTACTAGGAGGTCGCGAATTGTGGATATTTATAGGCATGCACTGTGGATGCAATACTTCTTGGTGTGGATTAACGCCAGCACTAGTGAGTACTACGACTATCAGTACTATCCTGATAATTAGACCAATTTGTATTACAAGGAAAAATGCGGTTCGGATTCCACTATAAACTGTAGGTTCCTTGGTCCCCATTTGTTGTATGGGCTATTAATTAACAGCTGTGTCTAAGGAACATGTCGGCTTTGGTCAGTAACAAGACTGCGAGATCGCACCACTCGCCCTACACTCATCCTTCACTCAAATTTGAGTTATGGCGTCCTCATCTAAAATAATTGATATAATTGATGTAATCGATGTGTTAATACTAACCTGGAGTTTCTCCGCATAGTACACTAAGGAGGCGAACACCACGATACCCAAGACCAAGAAGAACACAAGAAGGGTCAACTCTTTAGCGGAGGCCTTGAAGGTGTGGATGAGGATCTTGAGCCCGGGCGAGTGACGGGTCAGCTTGAACAGCCTCAGTATCCTGATGATGGAGAAGAACTCTAGAATGTCCGACTTGTCTATGTGATGAGCGACGCTGCTCTGTAGGAGGATGTCGGTGTAAAAACTTAACGTGGCGACAAAGTCTATAACGTTCACTGGCGACTTGATGAACTGCACAAGGTTGGGGCTCACCTGGAAAAGCATTAACAATCAATTCAAGAAATTCAGTAAGTATCCCCTAACTATTGAACTAAATAAATTGAAAACATATACAATACATCAGTAATCTGACACATACTTTTAGCCCAGGCAAATTAGACATATGCTCCCCAAAAAATCGTCTAAAGCTGGAAAGTGTTTTAATACCTTTTGGGGGTCCCAAATAAGAGTCCTGTGAGTTTGCGACGGATTCTGACGTCTGCTTAAGTTTTGGGAGTCGAAAAACTATGAAAATTTTGCACTTTTTTCAGTTTTTCGCTTATAACTCCTAAATAACGAATCCTACGGAAAATGTTGTTCAAAGGTCTCTTTTAGTACATTAAATTCTGCGTCGATTGGTGTTAAATACGTCAAAATCGGCCGAGCCGTTTAGCCACTTTAGCTTTTTAAATTTGGATCATTTTCATCAACATGGCCAAAAAGTTGATTATTTGACCAGTTTTCAGCTTACAACTCCTAATCGACGCTTGCTATACAAAAATGCACCTGTAGTTAGTTTGGAAAACACAAAATTCTGCGTAATATTTTTTTTTACCAATCAATAATGGTAATTGATTGCTACCTACTTTGTATGGTCGCCATTTCATTGAAAAAAATAATAAAGTTAAAGTTGGAAAATTTTACTAAAATTAATATACAATATTAATATTTTTTTCAATGAAATGGCGACCATACAAAGTAGGTAGCAATCAATTGCCATTATTAATTAGTAAAAAAACATATTACGCAGAATGTTGTCTTTTCCAAACTAACTACAGGTGCATTTTTGTATAGCAAGCGTCGATTAGGAGTTGTAAGCCGAAAACTGGTCAAATAATCAACTTTTGGCCATGTTGATGAAAATGACCTAACTTTATAAAAAGATACATCGGCTAAACGGCTCGGCCGATTTTGACGTATTTAACACCAATCGACGCAGAATTTAATGTACTAAAAGAGACCTTTGAACAACATTTTCCGTAGGATTCGTTATTTAGGAGTTATAAGCGAAAAACTGAAAAAAGTGCAAAATTTTCATAGTTTTTCGACTCCCAAAACTTAAGCAGACGTCAGAATCCGTCGCAAACTCACAGGACTCTTATTTGGGACCTCCAAAAGGTATTAAAACACTTTCCAGCTTTAGACGATTTTTTGGGGAGCACTCCCTATATTTGATCTAATTTGCCTGGATTATTTCTCCCATTAGCTTGTCAAGGACCTTTATCATGGGTAAACGATGAGAGTAACTAACTGTGATATTTAATAGGTAAACTCACAAAAGTTGCATTAACCTTCGAAAAAAAATTGCAGGGATGGGGGTTGCACTCTATTCGTTTGGATTTGCAATTTCCATAACATAAGAAACTTTTGAGCCGTAATTTTCACAGCAATGGGTGGTTGCACTGTTGTTAAGAAATATAAGGACCATCACATACTAAGTTCAATCAAAACCGTCTTTTTTAATCAGAATTTTTTTCTTATTTTATGGTTGTCAGCCGTACCTTTTACAAGAAGGTACAATTTTGTTCAGAATTTAGTGGGTACAACATACTACATTTGTAGTTATTTCAGAAGGTTTTATGTAAAAAAAAACACATTTAAAAACCAAAATGTTATCAAAATCAGACCATAGGTACTGTAGTTATGTATGTAGTTATGTACACATTCTCAAATACAGACAGACACGCGCGCGGACAGACATCACTTCGAAAACCAACTTTTTGGGTTCAGGGGGACCCAAAACTGATATATACACTCAAAACTCAAACTCGAAAATTTTATGAAAGCAATACTTTCTCCTTATACTATGTATAGGGGGAGAAAGTAATATAATTCAACAAAATGCATTGACAATTGCTAACCAACGGAATTTTACAGGGGAATAGGGACAACAAAATAACTATAGACTGCAAGAATACAAATAAAACAATAAGGTTGTAGTTAATCTTTTAACATTATTTGTTTTAGTAATAGGCCACTGTAGCATAAAGTAATGATTTCAGGCGTTAGGTCAGACGGTAGCGTAAGGTTTATATTCATCCATGTTGTTTAAACCGATTAGCTATGTTTATTCTTGGAATGCATCAGCTTACCCACATATTTCATTGATAATTTTAAACTATAAGCAGATAGAATTATAGAGCCCATGTGGATATGAAAAGTTAAGGCTAAAATGGGCTACCAACATAACACAAAAATCGCGATATTCAATCTTATTCCAAACCTCATCCTTATGACATTTAAATACGAATTTAAAAGAACAATTTGCTCTACCAATCGTTTTACACCACATAACTTAAAGTTATGTCCTGTTTATGTCCCAATAAAAATATTGGACGAGCATTACAATGTTAGTGAGACGTTAAAAAGAGTGTTCAAGCAATATGCTGAAGTCTAGTTACCGAGATAACTTTCATAAATGACAATTTAATATCTAGTATAATCAGCAATTTTTTCAGAGTCGAAAAAACAATTTATGGGTTCTTTTTGCTATCGTATGACTCTAGTTAATATTTATAACACTTATTTTCATTTGTTATTTATAAGGGTAATTACACGTTTTTTAATCATTACAAAATGATTTCACCGTCAAATAAGCTAACAAGCTTTTTGTTGGGGATCCAACATTTTGCTGTCTACATCTTAAAAAAGAGAAAAATCTGCATTTTTACCCTTTGTTGAAATATTTTTTATATGTTTATCTTATATCTAATATTTATTGGAGCTTAATACTTAAATAATAACTGTATTCAAAATACGTTTTATAAGCTTAGACCACATATATGTTATAAATATTATTAAAACTTCTTTTAAGGCAATTAATGTATATGGAATGAAAACGATAAGTATGTCAGTTTTAAAACTATTGTTAAGAACTTAGTTATTCCAGTGTCTTTGAGAGAACAATGTAGCAGTCTTCTTCATAGTTGTAAGCCTAGAAGAGAACTCTCGGTTAACTTTATGGAGCAATCTTCTCTAATCTTATTAGGCGGTAAATTATCGTTCTAAAAGCATCTCAGAGCAACTGGTAAGAATGTACATTACATGTTGTACTCCATTTACATCTATGAATCTATTATTAGATTTTTTAATAATTTAACTATTAATAAAGACAAAATCCGTGTACTAACCACGTAACAATTAAATAATAATGATGAGAACACATAATTTTTTTCTTACTAAAATCCCTCCATATTATGCCTATGGGGTTATCTATATTGGTATTTTCATGAATATTATTAATTTGATGAACGCAATTATTATCTCATCTCATAAGATTAATATTTGTTGTGTTTCATCGAAAAACATTTAAATAGCAGCCGGAAAGCACTACGATTAACTAACCTACACATTGAAATAGGAGTTTGAGAACTCTATTTACTCTAGAAGAAGAGGGAAGCTTTCTAAACAATAGAGAGTTAAAAGTATTTTTTATTTATATCTTTGTTTAATATGTTTTCTTAGGAACTCAATTAACATAAATTGTGTTGACTAGGAATGAACATTGTTATTCGTTGTGATAAATAATAACCAATAGTAGTACTAGATGTAATATACCACTTGAAATTCATACCTCCCAAAACAATAAACCTGATGAAATTTCTAATGACAAGTAATATTTTAACTAATTAATAGTCAATGATTTAAACAGTCTATGGTTTTTAAGAGGTGGAAAAACACACACACACACATATATGTGAATTCTTTACTGTATACGAGAGATAGTTCGAAAATTTCATAGTGACGGAAAATAGGATTATATCTACTTGCAAATTGTCTTTTAATAAATAACTTTTTTAATAATCTATATTATCAAAAGAAATTGTATCACATCGTCTTATATACTTAAAAACATTTGCAAAGCTTATGACAGCTAGCCTGACTATACTACTTTACCGAATTACACACGGTTGGTACCAAATTAAAGTTTATTTTCCTGAAGATGTGCAGGATCCCTTTATAAATTAGGCTCAAAATAAGCACCAAAAATGAATTTGACATTTTTTTATTCACATGGGCCTTATGGGTTGCTATGCTGGTGACAAAATGACAACAAAATATAAACATAAAATCTAAACAAATTCCAATCTAACTGTTAGCTATATTAACTCTTTAAATAATCTATATTATCAAAGAAATTGTATCACATTTTCATAACTATTTATAATTCGTCTGCGATTCAATATTAAAGCACAGTTTGACATCTTGGATTCTGTCTCCAGGGCCGCAATGCACTTGAGCACCTCTGTTTGAGGCTTGTTTACCAGCAAACTTTAAATGTGAGTCGCCAATGACTAACACTTTTTCAAATTGATTTGAATGACTTATGCTTGACTTATGTAAATATATTAGGATAGTTTAGATTTAGTGACTTGAGTTAGTTTGAAAACCATGTATTATGAAACTCGCTCGCAAATAAAGGCCTTTTTATTTATTATTTATTTATTTATTTGTACAATTTTACGATCATCTGATTATGTTTAATGCATTACATTTATACATAGTACTAAAATTAAACTCGCTTTGTGAAAAGATTTTTCAATATACAAACTCACTCAAGATGTTATAAAATGGAAGGTTATTACCCGTCAATTCAAGTTTTCCAAGAGGAAGCAATTTAATATCGGATCCATCACAACGTCAATTTATTTTTGCATTCTTTAACTTGAGGTATTCTTAGTTGAAAGCGAGGTTTGTGTCTGTCTTTACTTAGCCAATTTATAACGTCACAAATATTTTAGTATTTCACAATACTTATAACTCTCTAAATGTATAAGTAAAACACCATGTGTCACCACAACACACAATGTTTGTATAGTGTATGCATTAGGCATAAAAGGTGTATGTAATGGTTATAAAATATTATGGTATTCAGTTATGTGTCAAATCGAATCAAATAATTTTATTGAGCTAAAATTGGTGTGTAAAATCAACAATTAAAATACTAATTCCCACCATAAAATTAGAGTCAGCAGCCTGAACTTCAGGCCCAA